CATCCTCCATCCACCCGTCCACCTATCCTTCATCCATCCATCCATCATATATCCATCCGTCCACCCTCCATCAGCCATTTACCCACCCATCCATGTTACCACCCATCCATCCTCCATCTACCAATCCCCATCCGCCCATCCATTCATTATATGTCCTAGGATCTACCCATGTGTCTGCCTGATCTCTGTCTGCTGGTTCAGCCCCTCATCTATTGATTCTCCCTCTTTCCCTGTCTCTTTAAAAGCCCCTCCTCTGGGCCAGGTCCTGGGTCCCATGGGCTGGAAGGCTTCTCTGTGGCAGGGCTTCCTTGGGTGACCTGTTGCTCTCACCCTCTGGTGACTGGACCCTCAAGGGTGACAGTAACCTCCACCTCACCTTGGCCCTGAGAGCAGAGAGGCAGCCAGAAGGCGGGGGCCCCTGGGGAGGCCCGGAAGATGTCTAAGGCAAGAGCAGGGGCCCCACTGCCCCCTTGTGGGAGTCCTGGTGCCAGGTGTCCCCACAGTGGTTATGGCACAGTTCTTCCACTCCTGGGAGCCCCAAGCAGAAGCCAGAGGCAGGCAGAGGGGCCCTGGGCAGGCCCTGTTTCACTGGCCTGCTTCTGATGCTACCCCACGCGGCCCCTCCCGGTCTATGCTTAGGGTCCTAGTTGGGCTTAGGAAGGGATGGGAGACTTGGCCAGGCAGGGAGCAGGGGCTGCCTGGGAGGGGGTCTGTGGAGTTGGTCCCTGAGCTGTGCACAGTGGAAACACAGGGAGGCCAGAGGGGCCTGGGGCAGCAGGCTGAGCCTGGGAATGCCCGCTGGGGGCTTGGGAGGGGACTCCCCTGGCTTTTCTGGAGCTGGGTCTGGGCTGTGAACGTTCTGCTCCTGCAGGGCTCAGGCGTATATGTGGCTGTGAGTGTGCACGTGTGTCCGTGTGCCCCGTACAGAGCAGTGTGGTTAAGGGGAGGTGCCCCTTTCTGTATGTGTCAGTGGGGACATCCTGAGGCCCACCTACTAGGGTGGTGGGGCCCTCCTGGATCTTGTCCTCCCAGGGGGGCCCTGGAGTCCAGCCCCTCACTCCCTCGCTGCTCCTCCCGCTACCTGCCTCTTTCTCGGCCAGCCTGCTCTTCTCACACTCTCTATTCCCTCCCAGCTGCAGCCAGCGGCAGCTCTCTCAGGGACAAACGGCCATGCCGCTGCCCACTCAGAACTCTCCGGGACATGTGCGTCTCTCAGAACCCACCCTGGGCTGTGCCTGCCTCGGCAGACCTAAGATTTCACACCAGCGAGGCCTCCTGTACCACACACTCTCACACTCACAACTCACACTCACACCAGGGTGGAAAGGCTCACAGGGGTGCCAGGGCCCCCCGAGGCTCAGGGCAGGGGTGTTCTTCCCTCTCTGTGCCCCGGCCCTTTCCCACGTGCTGAGACCCTGAGGATGGATAGAGGCGCCGGATGGAAGCGTGGGGCTGCTTGGGGGAGCATGGAGTTTATTCAGGGGTGGGGACAGGCGGGCGGCTCAGTAGCAGGTGCCGTCCACTTCCGCCATGACCACAGACACATTGACGTGGGTGGGTTTACCCGCCAGGCGGTCGATGGTCTTCTGTGTGAAGGCCAGCGGCAGGGCCTCGTGGCCCACCATGCAGGAGAAGGTGTCCCCCTTCTTCCAGTCCTCGGCTGCCACGCGCAGTATGCTGGTCACGGCGAAGGTGGTGGTGCCCTGGCTGGGCTCCTGCCGGGATTCCCAAGTCAGATACTTGTCACGGGGCAGCTGCTCTGTTCCCTTCAGCCAGCGAACCAGCACGTCCTCGGGGCTGAAGCCGCGTGCCAGGCACGTCAGCGTCACCAGCTCGTTCAGGGCCAGCTCCTCCGACGGCGGCGGCAGCAGGTGGACCTCGGGCCGGAACGTGTTTCCTGGAGGTAGAGAGCCAGGTCAGGGGGCTGTGCAGGGGATGAGAGAGCCTCTACCGCTCTGGTGGGCACCCCGGGCTGTGTCCTGGTCCCCTCAGCCTGCCTCAGTTTCCCTCTGCACTTGGCATGAGCACCCAAGCCCAGGACCGGGAGGGAGGAGGCAGGCCGGGAATATGCTTTGCAAACCAGAGCCCCGAGCAGGGTCTGGACCCACCGGATTTTGAGATGGTGGCGGTTAGTGGGGTCTTCAACTCAGGGTGATTAGCAGTGCAGGTGAAGGTCACCCTATTGTTCCATGGCTCAGCACAGCCAGGCAGGACACTGGACACACTGTAGCAGCCACAGGGGTCAGGCTCAGGTGACTGTTGGACAGCGTTCTTCCCACTTGAGGGCGTCCAGGTGAAGGTGGCACCCGAGGGATCTCTCAGGCCGGTCAGTGTGCACGTGAGGTTCGCCTCGGAACCTAGGAGCAGGTCCTCGAGGGCTGGCCGGCGCAGCGACAGTCGGGGCTTGCAACATAAGGGACATGGGGGTGAGAGAACTGCAGTGGAGAAATGGCCTGAGCTGGTCAGCACACCCTTCCCCGTGCCCCCGCCTTGCCCCTCCTGGCCTGTCTACCACCACCTCCTGGGGCTCGGCCCGCAGTCCACTCTGGTGTGAGTGAAGGGGCAGCTCCCTGTGGGGAACACAGGTCCAGGCACAGTGTCAGGGCAGGCTGGGGTGGCCCCGCCCCACTCCCCAGCCTGCCCTCTGACCTCTGCAGCGCACAGCCACATCGTGGCTGGGATTCGTGTAGTGCTCCACGTGGCATGTCACAGACTCGCTGTCTAGGCACTGTGCGGCCGGCAGGGTCAGCTGGCTGCTCGTGGTGTACAGGCCGCTGGAGGCGTCCTGGCTGGGCGGGAAGTTTATGACGGTCACACCCGCTCCGCTTTTGTTCCAGGTCACGTTGAGTGGCTCCTGGGGGAAGAAGCCCTGGACCAGGCAGGCGACGACCACGTTATCTGACTGGGTGCCCTCGAGGCTCAGCGGGAAGACCTTGGGTCTGGTCGGGGATGCTGGAACACAGAATGCGCTGTGAGGATGCGGCCCTCATGCCATGTCCCCAGGAGAACAGGCTGCGCCTGCCTCTCCTCTACACTGGAGGAACCCAGCACAGAGAGGCCTGGTGACGGCCCCAAGGTCACACAGCTCCTGCACCACAGGCCTGCATTTGGACCTGGCTGTCTGATCCCAGCAACACGGTTTCTGAACATGCTCCTCAGATAGGGCCTCTGACCCAGGCCATCCCAGACACAAGTTGTATTAAACAGGGCTCTGCTATGGAGTGGCCGAGTCCCCTGAGCTCCCTGACTGCAGCTCCTGCTCTGGGTGGGGGACATATCTTGCTCTCTCCCCTGAAGCTAGAGAGGATCTTGGCGGCGGCTCTGAGGAGGTAGCCTGGGCTCTGAGTGCTGTGTGCATGGGGTAGGGGTGGGACGGCTTGCTGTGACCCCACCTCCCTGTCCCCAGTCAGGGTCTCAGTCCAACACCCACCACTCCACGAGCCCCACCCCAGGCCCAAACAAGCCACAGTGGACCCCTGTGGCCTATGAGGTCTCAGGACCAGAGGCCAACATGCTAACCCATGTCCCCGCCAGGCCCTCCAGGGCAGGGCCTGCTACACCGGGGAGCTCTGGGCGGAGCCCGTTCCAAATTTCCTTCAGGCAGTGGGCAGGAGGAAAGACAGAATCATGGTGCAACAGAGCTGCATGGCCCTCAGAACCCCTAAGAACACAGCTGCATGGCCCTCAGAACCCTAAGAACACAGCTGGGCTCAGGGCTCTGCAGGTGGAGTCACACTCAACCCACAGCCTCCTTCCCACATTAGCAGCCACCTCAGCCCATCCAGCCCAGCCTAGGCCAGTCCAGCTCAGTCCAGTCCAGTCCAGCCCAAGTCAGCCTAGCTCAGCTCAGCCCAGCTCAACCCAGGTCAGCCCAGCTCAACCCAGGTCAGCCTAGCCCAGGACAGCCTAGCTCAGGACAGCCTAGCTCAGGACAGCCTAGCTCAGTACAGCTCAGCTCAGCTCAGCTCAGCCCAGCCCAGCCCAGTCTAACCCAGTCCAGCCCAACCCAGCTCAGCTGAGCTCAGCCAAACCCAGCTCAGCTCAACCCAGCTCAGCTCAGCCCAGCTCAGTCCAGCCCAGTCTAGCCCACCCCAGCCTGGTTCCAGGTCAACCCAACCCAGCTCAGCCCAGCCCAGCTCAGCTCAGCTTAGCCCAGCCCAGCTCAGTCCACCTAAGCTCACCCAGCTCAGCCCAGTCCAGCCCAGCCCAGCCCAGTCCACCTAAGCTCACCCAGCCCAGCCCAGCCCAGCCCAGCCCAGCTCAGCTCAGCTCAGCCCAGCCCAACCCAGCCCAGCCCAGCTGAAACCAGCCTAGCTCAGCTCAGCTCAGCCCAGCCCAGCTTAGCTCAGTCCACCTAAGCTCACCCAGCTCAGCCCAGTCCAGCTCAGTCCAGCTCAGCCCAGCCCAGCCCAACCCAGCCCAATCCAGCCCAATCCAGCCCAATCCAGCCCAGCCCAGCCCAGCCCAGCCCAGCTCAGCTCAGCCCAGCCCAGCCCAGCCCAACTCAGTCCACCTACACTAACCCAGCTCAGCTCAGCTCAGCTCAGCTCAGCCCAGCCTAGCCCAGCTCAGTCCACCTAAGCTCACCCAGCTCAGCCCAGCCCAGTCCAGCTCAGCTCAGCTCAGCCCAGCCCAGCCCAGCTCAGTCCACCTACGCTAACCCAGCTCAGCTCAGCTCAGCTCAGAACAGCCCAGCTCAGTCCACCTAAGCTCACCC